CTCCACTTGAGCAATGGTTTCATGGATACTAGTTAAATCATTGCAGAATTAAAATTGTACAGTGATGTGGTTCCTCAAAAGTCTGCAGTGGGTCATTTTAGAAGATGATTTTTCCCTTTAATTACCCTTTTCCTGGATCTGAATGTTTCATATGTTATATGTTCATCATCATTTTTTTTAACCTTTTTAAGTATTTTTCTGTGTAGCCCTTGCTGTCCTGGAACTCACTTTGTAGACCAGGCTGGCTTCAAACTCACAGAGATCTACTTGGCATGTGCCACATTCCTGGCAGCATCATATGTTTTTACTAGAGGTCTACCTGAGTAAAGAGTACACAACACAGTGAGATGGCTTCCAGCTCACCCCAGAGTGACAGCCAGGGAACCGAATGATGCATCCATCATGGTGCCTGGGGAGTGGGGTGGGGGGATTTGGGTTTAGCCCTTGCCACCACATAACAGGAAAAAATGTACCCAGGCTTCTCTTTCTCAAAAACACACTCTTCGTGAAGTGTTTCTGAGCTAAGTGTGTAAGTCTAGGGGAGGAGTGGCCATGCAGAAGAAATGCTTTGTGAGACTTTAGGCTATAAACTGAAAAGGCTGATTTTTTTCAAAGTCCTCTTCAGATAAGGGACTGGAAACTCCTGTTTAGCATCTTAGAAGGGCCCTGCCTGAAGTTGCAGAAGTGTGTGTGTCGGGGGAGGGGTCGCCTAGACAGAGCTGCCTGGAGTAGCAGATAGCAGCAGATCGGCCACCTGGTCATGGCACAATCCTGGGCCAGTTCCTTGTGTGTAGGAGGAGATGCCAGTGTCTGCGTTGCAGCCTGCTTAGGACAGTTCCATGTGGCATTTGGTAAGCACCTAACAGAAAAACAAAAATTCAGTGAAGGAAATCATTACATTGAGTAATTTTTCCACATACTGCACGACAAGGGCCTTGGACCTAACAAGTCTGTCTTTGTCTTGTCGTAGCCACATCTGAGTGTGAGCCCCAGACTATGAGAAATGTAAATTGCATCTGAGATGTGTGTCTTGTGTGCTTTGAGTCTTTCAGTGTGGAAAACCCAAGCCATATAAACAGGTACAACAGAGTTCATAGTGTTGTGGGATCCACCCCCTTTGCTCTCCTCACAGCCACCGTACAAGTACATGCCCTTTTTGGAAAATAGGTTCACATGAGAAACATAGTTCAGTGTAGCTTATAATTAGTGTATGCATGAGAACGGGTCATTTTTATTTCCCGTGATGCTGGGACTGCACTTAGTACCTTGCATGCTAGGGCAATCACTCTACCATTGCTAAACCATTCAAACGTCAAGATCGTATGTCTTACTGACAGCTTAACGTGTTCTTTTTATGTGAAGCTAATGTATTTATACAGTAGTAAAGACCATATATAAAATAGCACTTTGGCCGGGCATTGGTGGCGCACGCCTTTAATTCCAGCACTCGGGAGGCAGAGGCAGGCGGATCTCTGTGAGTTCGAGACCAGCCTGGTCTACAGAGCGAGTTCCAGAACAGCCTCCAAAGCCACAGAGAAACCCTGTCTCGAAAAACCAAAAAAAAAAAAAAAAAAGCACTTTGAAACATTTTGACGTATTTTTGTTAACGTCTGTAAGTTGTGTTTTATAATAATTTCATTATTTATGAACAATGAGCAATTGTGATGATGACGCATTGGCCTTTATCTGATGGGCAGGTGTAACTCATGCTAAAGGTAAGGGTGCTCTTACCCAGTTCTTGTTTTTTAAATCACTCCAGTCCTACCACAGGCAAACTCACAGGCACTGGGTTTTTCTCTCCTAGCCAAAGGCTGTAGTTGCATTGGGCTCCCTCTCTGTGTCCTCTGACTGAGTGGAATGGGATTGGGAGGGGTCAAGGATCTTAACCAAACTTCTTGCTGGATAGCCTAAGCGTCTTGCAGTGCATGTGTGACATCTTCAGTCCCAATCCCTTTGGTGATTAATAAAGACTGCCCGGTTGGTGGAAGGATAGCGTGTCATAGTTTATGACCAGTCCGAACTAATTCAGTGTTTGTCCCTTAGCCACGATTTCTCTTTTGGGGTTCACTTTCTGCAGCTCAACTGTAGTCTGAAAACACTAAGGTGAAAATTCCAGAACTAAGCAATTCATTACTTTTAAATTGCACACCATTCTAAATAGTGTTATGAGATCTTAAATCTTTCTGCCCCTGAACTCAAGACATGGATTTCTTTGTCTAGTGTATCAACATTGTAGCTGCTACCTTCCCGTTATCAAGTCAGCTACCCTGTGCTAAGTTCTCATTATGCTGTCATCTAATACTATGTCATAATGCCTCCATAACCCACCTCAGCAGGCACTGTTAACCATCTCCTATCATTGCAAGAAGACATGTGAGTTCAGGGAAATAAGGTGTGTATATGCGCACACACTTGAGTGTGTCGAGCCCACAGGAAGATGTTCCACAGGAACATTCCACCTTGGTTTTTGAAACAGTCTCTCATTGGCCTAGAGTTAACCAATTATGCTAGACGGACTGACCAGCAAGCCCCAAGAATGCACCTGTCTCTCTCTCTCCCTGGAGCTGAACCACCAGGCCCAGCTGCTTTTCATGTATGGGGGCTCGGGGGACAGGACTGAGTTCAGGTCCTTGTCCTCAAAAGACAAGCCCTTTCCTGACTGACTCATCTCCACAGCACAGCAAGGTGTTTTGAGGGACTGGGAATGTAGTTCAGTTCCTGGAATGCTTTCCTGGCACTGCACAGGGGTCTGGACTTATCTCCAGAACAATATAAACCAGGTGTAGCGGTGAAACCTATAGTTTTAGCACTTGGGAAGTATGGACAAGAGGATCAGCTAAGGTCATCCTCGGCTGTATATCGAGTTCAAGGCCAGGTTGTGCTACTTTCCTGTCTCAAAGAAAAAAGAGGGGAAAAAGTTATTTTTCAACATTTAACCTTTATTATATTTAATGATTCTATTTTATAATAGTTATTGATCTCTTTGGTTTTTTGTTTTGTTTTTCAAGACTGGGTTTCTCTGTGTAGCACTTCCCCCCTCACCCCCACCCTGTCCTGGAATTTGCTCTATAAATGAGGCTGGCCTTGAACGTAGGGATTCACCTGTCTGCCTCCTGAGTGCTAGGATTAAAGGCCTGTGTGCCCAGCACATGATCTCTTGCTCTACCTAATTTATAGATTAAGCTATCATATATATGTACAATATAAGAAAACAACTCTCGTTGGTTTCAGGCATCTACTGGAAACATGGAATGTGTTCCCTGCAGATAGTGGGAGAGTCTGTATTGGGCCTTAGACAGAGCATCTGAATTCATGTACTTGTTGTTCTGTGTTCTCAACAGTGTCATTGACCTGGAGCTTTTTCTCTCCCACTCTCCCCTTACCCATCCATCCCTTTTTTGAGGTAGAGTCTCATGTAACCTAGGCTGGGCTGGTGGTGTCAAACTTGCTACGCAGCTGAAGACGCCCTTAAATTTATTATATTAGTGCTAGAATTACAGTCATGTGCTGCTTACCATGCCTGGCTGGATTAGATTGCTTTGTGAGACAGGGACTGCTGCCTCTGCACCGCCCTGGGTATCTGGGTTAGAGATCCTTTCTTTTCTTTTAAATCATTTATTTATTCACGTTTATAATTTATCTTATGTACGTTGGTGCTTTGTCTGCATGTATGCCTGTGTGAGGGTGTCAGATCTTGGAATTATAGACAGTTGTGAGTTACTGTGGGAATTGAACCTGTGTCTTCTTAAGAGCATCCAGTCCTGGGTTAGATTTCTTGAAGAGATATATTTCTCCTTTAAGCTGAAACCCTTAAATAGAAGAGGGGAGGGTATTCTTTTGATCACTAAATTTTATTTATTTATTTGGTTTTTACGAGACAGGGTTTCTCTGTATTGTTTTGGAGCTGTCGGTCCAGCCCGGCCTCAAACTCACAGAGATCCGACTGCCTCTGCCTCACGAGTGCTGGGATTAAAGGCGTGCGCCACCACCGCCCAGCTCACTAAAATGTTTTTAAAGTAGTGTTCTTGTCATTTAGGTAGCTCAGAAACCTACTTCCTGGCCTTGTGTGCTCAGGGCATGAATATTAACACAAATTGGATTGTTGTCATTGCACACATGTGCACAAGTGTTGGCTGATTTAAGACCTTAATGATGTGTCCAATACATTCCTGGACCGGAAGATTTTTAAAAAATATAACATGGTTTTTATTTCTCTTTAGAAATACACTTCATGTTTATAAGCATTGACTTGGTTAATATAGTAATATCAAAAGGAAAAAGAGTTGCCATTGATCAGGAAGGATTTTATTTTTTTAGCTTTAAGATTTTTGTTTTTGGCCAGGTGGTGGTGGTGCACTCCTTTAGTTCCAGCACTAGGGAGGCAGAGGCAGGTGGATCTCTGTGAGTTTGAGACCTGCCTGGTCTACAGAGCAAGTTCCAGGACAGGCTCCAAAACTACACAGAGAAATCCTGTCTTGAAAAGTTAGTCCTTTGTATTTTAGAAAACCCAAATTATAAATGCCTAAGAATAAGATACTAAAAAAGGCTTGCTTTAACTTTCTTAAAATATCATCTTTTGCTGGGTGGTAGTGGCACACACCTTTAACCCCAGCACTCAGGAGACTGATGCGGGCGGATCTCTGTGAGTTTAGGGCCAACCTGGTCTACTGAGTTCCAGGACAGCTGGGGCTACACAGAGAAACCCTGTCTTGAAGGGGAGAAAAAAAGTCACCTTTTATGTAGTAAAGAATTTCGGTAACTGAACTACAAGGGTAGAAGTGAATTGTGTATATAGCAAATTATTCTAATTGCTTTTTATCAAAGGCATTACCTAATTTTGCCCTGTTCTTTTGCCCTTCTATCCAAGAGTATAGAAAATTGATGAGGTTCTGTGCATTGTGTTAGGTCTGATCATAGTTTGACTAGCACAGTCTGGAAGTGGGCTGTGCAGGATGAGAGAAGCAGCCTAATCGCTCTTCCTGCATCAGCAGCATCTATACAGCATCCTGGGAATTGCTGGCCCGCCCGGTGCTCGGAGCAGCTGGTCACATGAGCCTGAATTTTCAGTTCAGTTCATTAGTCAGCCATTTTGGTCAACACCCTGCTTACTGCGCACAGCCAATCCAGTTAGAACTCCGCATCCCGGCTCGTCTGAACAGGTCCTGTAGTGATTTCTGCTGCTCAAAAATTTTTTAGATAAATTAAAAATATAGGTTGATTTTTTTTATTTTTTATTTTGTGTTTTTTCTGCACAAAGAAGTAGGATTTTTTTTTTACTTATGCATGCTAAGACCATTTTTTGAAAGCCAGCCTTATAAGACAGTATTGGGTGTGTAGGATTTAAGCCTATAGATAGCCCGGCTGGAATAAAGGAAAAGGAAGATAAAAGGAGAGGAGGCTGGGAGAAGACAGACACCATCTAATTTTGCTGATAGCAATTGCCAGTAAGAAAATAGTGTAGAGTTGATTGTTTATTTTGAGCAGTTTGTTCCACAAGGTATTTTTCTTCTCTTTCCTTTTTTTAACCTCTCCTATCCCATTTTCTAAAAGCTTTGTTTAAGAGCTTGAGATTTGGGATTTTTTTGAGGGATACAGAGGTCTTATTTATTTGTGTGTGTGTGTGTGTGTGTGTGTGTGTGTGTGTGTGTGTGTGTGTGTGTGTGTGTGTTGTGGTCCCAGCTGAGTCATCATGTCTGCCCTGACGCCTCCGACTGATATGCCAACCCCCACCACTGACAAGATAACACAGGCTGCCATGGAGACCATCTACCTTTGCAAATTCCGAGTGTCTATGGATGGAGAATGGCTCTGCCTTCGAGAGCTGGATGACATCTCCCTGACACCTGACCCAGAGCCTACCCATGAAGGTATTGTCAGCCTCCAGCTGCTAGCCCCTGGCCTCAGCAGCATCCTCATTGTCACAGGGGCTGGGAGGGGTCAGAGGAGATGAGAAGCCCCTCTTGGCTTTTATTATTGTCTAGGGCTTTGCTTCCCTGCACCTCCGCCCCTCTGGTGAAAGGATTTTTCCCTACCCCCTGAGGTCTCCTTTTAAGCTTGAGTTCTGTTACAGTTCTTTGTCTGAAAGCCCTTCAAAGGGAACAGTTGAGGTCATTTAAACATCAGTGGCTAACAGATAGGGAAGGAGCTATCGATTGTGTTGGTCCTACTTTAAAATATTATTGAAATTAGTGATTCCTGACAGTAAATTAAGAAAACAAAATTGTACTTACAGGATGTAAGAAATCCAGGGGAAAAGCTAGAGGAGTGTCCCGTCAACTGGATATTGTGAAACAGCCAATGGCACCCAGAAGATATCAGAGAAAGTTACTCTTTTTAGATAGTATTAGGTGGGAAAGCAAATTGAAATTCAGTGCTTAAGGAATATGGACGCTTAACAAAAGCATATCTTGAAGAGGCTGTTATTAGTATAATCATTCCCGTGCATGCAATCTACGAACCATTGTGTTTGTACAGGTTTACTATATATATATAAATATATATATTTGTGTATGTATATAGGCATGCATACTTATGCTTACAGTTGCAACTAATCCTTGACTTTTTCTAAGAGCAAATTGTAAGATATTTTTAGCTTATATTCCTCAATTCCCCTGATGCCGAGCTGCAAATATAATAGCTTCTCAGCTATGCTTTTTCTCCTTCAGAAAACAAAGATTAAAAAACGTTAGCATGCAACAAGAAATCCTTAATGAACATCTGCCTGGTACTTAGGCATATCTGCAGGACAGGTGAATTGCCCCGTAGCAGGCTGGAGTTAGGAAAAGTGATTCCATGCCCTTGACCGTGTGTTACAGTCATGTCATGACTCAGATCGACTCAGCCGTGTCTGATAAGGATTTCTTCTTCCCAGTCAGATCTAGCCTGGAGAACGTTTTAGAGTTAGGATCACAAAACAAAAGCAGTCCTTTTGTGCATGTCTTCCTAACAATGTTTTAGTAGTTTTAAAGCTGCTTGGCATCTGTTACATTGATTCTGTCAGTTGAACAGCTTCCTTCAGCTATGTTTCAGAATGTGCACAAGGGTTAGAGGCCATCAGCTGAGACTGTGTACAATGCCAGTACTGTTTACAAAACCTCCACAGCTTCGGCAGTCTTCAGGGGCCACAATTACAGTTTGAAAAAACGCTACCAAGAAGTCTTTTAGCGAGTGCTTTTGACATATTTTGTTTGAAAGAGAATCCCCATTCATTTTGAAAGTCATTCTATGAAATATTTCCCTAGTTATAAAGTCTAGCTTCTCGGTTTCCTAAGGATACTTTTGGGCATATGTTTGCCTTGTGTGAGAGTTCTGTGGTGAGTGCAAGTTTGCTGTTTGGTTCATTTAAACACTGGTAATAGTTCTGGTTGAGTTCTTCTTTGAGAAGTGTGTTGCTGCGACAGGAGCATGAGTAGTAAGGGAAAGGGTAGGAGAGGGGCAGACTGGCAGTGACACACCCTTTGATCTAGGAGGCCGGGCCCTTAGTCAGTTACTCAGGATGTGGAACTTAGGAAGATCCTAACAGCATATTGGGGCATTTTGCCTTAAATTAGGTGAAAGAAACAATTATTTCACATGAAATTTTTTAAAAGTATAAGGCCAAGGAAACATAGGAGTTACAATGTTCTAGAAAACCAGGAAGTACTCCATGGGAGGTTGGTTTCCTTGCTCTACTGTGTCTAAATAGCCACTTGGATCCAAGAAATGCCTGCTTTGCTTCTAAATCCTTGGCAATATTATTTTTATCTGTGTGATCAGTGATGACATGAGTAACGGACAAACTGGAACTCCAAATGCCTAGACTGCCTCCTGGTTGGTTTATAAAGAAAAGGTCTGACCATGCAAATCTTAAAGACCTTTCCAATTCACAAAAGGAAATGGGTAAAATTGTCCTCCCTTGAGATGACGTGGACTCCAAGTCTTATTTCTGAAACAGTTCCTGTGCTTCACCATGAGGCCACCTTGTCGAAAGGCCCTCTGCACTCCGCAGTGCTTAGAGAAGACACACTTTGACTCCTGTCTTCATGCTTGTTGGCATTTGAAATGATCCCTCATTCTTAGGTGCCCTCTCCTAAAAACTAAAAGCTAGCCTCCTGGTCAGAGCAAAGGATTGAGTCTACTAGAAAGGAGAGGGAAGGGCCAGGAAGCTTCAGCATAAGGCTTGAGCTAGCCTTGAGACATAACTAGACGATCACCACATGGATGTGGGCAGGGCTTCCCAGTACATTCTGAGCTGTCCTTGCCAAGGAAGAACAGGTGGTCAGGAGCCTGCAGTGCTGTGTGTGACACCGTAGGGTGTGAGATTGGGGAGATGAACTCTGGCATGGGGCGCCTGGTCTTGACTCAGTTGCTGGGGCTTTATACCTAGGGATAACATGATCCAGGATTCTTAATACAGAGTGAGCACTCTTGCAGCAACGTTGTGAGTGAGTCAGAAAGATAAACGCCCTCCAGGGACCCTCGCCATGGCTACTGAACTGGTGAGAGAGAACAATTCCAGTCTAAGGTAGTGAAGAGTAAACACAGAGGGAAGGAGGGAACTGCCACCTGAGGAGTGGCATTACTTGATGACCAAGTGGCCTATGGGGCTGGAGATGAGAATGTCACAATGCCTGGGGTAGCTGCCCAGCTTTTGTCTTCAGGTTCTGAGTCCCTTCTACCAGTAAAGAATGCAAGACTAAGACATGGTTTGCTCTCTGTGCTAATAGAGCATGGCTAACAAAGGAAGCATTATCATGTCATCAGTTTAACCTTCCAGCCAACCCTATAGAAACATGGCTCTAGTTGACTCTTGGCTAGTTATTGTCCTGTCATGTAAACAATATACTGTTCCCTTGAAGAGCTGAATTCAACAATTTAGGATATGACTTGTGTTTTCTTTTGTCAACACTAGAAGAGCAATCTCATCTGTGTGAAATTGAGTTTCTTTTGCTGTTACGTTGTTTTGTTTTTGAGACATGCACATACATAGAAGTTTAGGGGTGGGGTGGGATAGCACACATCCAAAATGTCAGCTAATTGGGAGTCTGAGGCAAGATGATAAAACCTAGATTAATTTTTACTGCATCCAGTTCCCTGCCTCAAGAATAGATAAATGATAGGAAAGTAAACTTGTTATCAGGAAATATCCAGGTCTCCATTAACCCTCTCAGAGATAGGGAACTAGCATTGAGAAGAGATGCATAGATGATCAGGCAACTATTAAACAAACAAACAAGCAAAAACATTTGCTTAACTCTAAGTTTGAACACTCTTCTCAAATACAGGTAGCAAAAAGAAAAAATGCCATGAAGGAATTATTTATTCATTTACTTACTTACTTACTTATTTTGAGCAGGGCCTCACTATGGAGCCCTAGCTGGCTTGGGAGGAATTACATGTTTTAGGACATGTTGAGAAATGAGGCTCTCTCCTTTGTCTTAGGGTTGCTGTACAGAACTGAGTGTGATAACAGAACATGTAGAGTTTGACACAGCAGAACCAGGGATCCCTCCAGCAGGCGTCTTGGTCTTGCTGGCCAGATGTGCATCATCTGTACTAGGAAGAGGAGAGCCTTGTCGGAAATATAAGTGAGCATAGGAGTGTGTGTTTCAGACCAGGAGCATGTGTTTTTGTCAGCTAGCTTGTTATTAGTATTGTGCATCCCTTGAGGCAAAGTTTAGTCAAAGGGCAGTCCTGTTTTCTTGAAAACTGAAATGTGGAATTCAAACCCACACAGCACTTACCACTGATGACATTCCCCAAGGATACTACAGGTTCAGGTTTGGAATAAAGCTTTTGTATCCAGTGGGAATATACAATTAGGTTGATCATCTCTAGGTGAAAGAAGGGTCTGTCATCTTGGGACTTTTAGACATGCTGAAGCCAAGACGTGCCTGTTGACCTTAAGTACTTCTACCCACTCATGTTTCCTATATACAAGCATAGCCAGGGAATTACATACATCTTAATAAAAAAGTATAGATCCCAGTGTGTATTTTACAGCAGGAGCATAAGGCGGTCAGAAGAAGGCATCAGGCCCTCCAGAACATAAGGGTGCTGGAAACCAGACCTCCATCCTCTGCAAGAGCAGTTGGTGCTTATAATCACTTCTAACCATCTCCTCAGCCCCACTAATCTTATGAGAAAGATTGCTAAAATACCTTTCCTCTGCTTGTTTCTGGTGTTTAAGAACTATGTAATTCATGTTCACTTTACCTACCCTACTGGTATATGGTTGAATGTAAAGTTGTCACTGCCTGTGGATAATCTTATTCAATACTGGTGGAAGTAGGAAGAAAAACGGGCTCTGCCAGGAGCATGTTTAGAACAGCCTTTTCGTTTGTTATTATTTGAATTATTTGTTATTATTGTGTGTGCACCTTCACGATGGAGGGTATGTGTGGGTGTCAGCACAGCTGCGGAGTCAGTTTTCTCCTTCCACCTTTTGTGGGTTCTGGTATTCACCTCCAGGCTTGCTAAGCAAATGCCTTTACCTACTGAGCCGTCTTGCAAGCCCAGGAGCGTCCCTTTGGGAGATTACTTTATCAATGTAAATTGAAGGCCTTGAGAAAATAGTTCCAATAACCATAGCAGACACCTGCCTTAAGAAAATAACAATACAGATAAAGAATATTTTTAAGTTTATTTATGGATTTATGTGTGCGTGTGATCCCGAGTGACATACTGCACTATGTGTGTGTAGGAACCCATGGAGGGCAAAAGAGAATGTCAGATCTCTGGGAACTTGAGTTACAGGCAGCTGTAAGAGGCCATGTGGTTGCTGGGAACCCGATACGGGTCCTCTGCAAGAGCAGTAAGTTCTTGTAACTGATTAGCCATCTTTCCAGCCTCCACCCCCCCCAAAAAGTCATATGTTACAGTATTCTGC